TAAAGTTGCCACATACACCCACCAGCTTTACCACTTTACGAACAACTGTACATCTATTTTTTTCATACAATTATCCAAACGGCTAATCACGTAGCAGAAGTGCAATGCACAGTCATGCAGATACAGGTCAAGAGCTTCAGTTAATGTTCACATCGAACATCAGAATGGGGAAATATGTGAAGAAAAAAAAAAACAGTGAGCGGCAGTTCCGTGGCACAAATGCTTTGTTGATGAGAGAGATCAGAGGAGAATGGCCAGACTGGTTTGAGTTGACAGAAAGGCTATGGTAACTCTAACAACAATTCTTTACAACCCTGATGAGCAGAAAAGCATCTCAGAACATACAGCACATCGAACATTGACGCAGATGGAATACAACAGCAGGAGACCACAGTGGGTTCCATTCCTGTCAGCCAAGAATAGGAATCTGAGGACACAGTGGGTACAGGTTCACCGAAACTGGACAGTTGATGATTGGAAAAATGCCACCTTTTCTGACAAATATTGATTTCTTCTGTGACATGCAGATGGCAGGGTCAGATTTTGGCATCAACAGCATGAATCCATGGACCCAACTTGCCGTTTGTCAACAGTTCAGGCTGGTGGTAGTAGTATAATGGTGTGGGGAATGTTTTCTTGGCACATATTGGGTGCCTTAATGCCAATGGAGCATTGTTTCAATGCTACAGCCTGCCGACCAGGTGCATCTCTTTATGGTCACAATTTACCCCATAATGGGTCTCTTATAACTATCCATCTTAATAAGTTTGTGTCACATCTCAAACACTTGGAACTTAGCCAGTAATAGGACCCATGAGCACACACTGTCACACAGTGGGTAGGATGGTGAAGGAGGGAAAAAGAGCCCAAAGATCTCAGTTCTCAGTTTTAGAATTGCACTCTTCAGTTGATTCTTGTGGTTGTCAAGTTTCAAAATCAACTGTTAAACACCACTTTCAACAAACACAACTCCACTTTCAGGACATCAGAACTACAATTAAAATTTTGTTGTGGTCAAATCAAACTTCTAAAATCAAACGAAAGCACAACTTTTTGGAAAAATCACCACTCAAACAGTGTAAAATATGGGTAGGATAACTGATGCTTTGTGGCTGTTTTGTTGATGGTGGTTCAGTGTCTCATGAAGATTGATGGAATCATCAATTCCGCCAAGTACCGGGATATTTTAGTAAAAAAAGCTGGTTGTCTCCGCCAGGAGGTTAACACTTGCCCATAGATGGTGCTTTCAACAAGATAGTGAGCCAAACAGACTTCAAAATCAAACACAGAAATATTCATATAAACATTCTATTATACAGAAATGATCAATTTTGGTAAAATTGGCTTTAGCAACATTTTACCATTCTCAACTATGTATTTGGTTGATATTGGTTAATTTTTGGTATGTATTTGAATCATTGTGTTTAGTAAGCTCTCTGTAACTATAGTCAAAAGATACACTCATTTTAGAAAAATTCATGAATATGCACCCACATATCCAACTTGTTTTGGTGCTTCTTTTTGGTGCTGAAAGAATGCAAGCTGAAAAGATCACATCTTTCTTTGACTTGGCAGCGGCAGAGGCACATGGACAAGATTCCATGCCAGATAGAAAAGCAATCACACTGGAGACGAAAAGATGAAATGCAATACACAGGCGGTATTGCTTTTTATTTATGACTCAGGACAACGCGCAACACAGAAAAGCAAAACCTTCAGTGCATTTCTCTTACATTGCTGTATCACTTCAGTGAAAAACATGAAACAATGAAAGCATGTCAAAAATGAATTTTATCCAACAAAAAAAAAAATGGAATCCACACTGTGGCTGCATTTCACTGAGACCCAGTTTATGTTCAGTGCCATTTATTGCTTTTCAGTAGTGACATAGGAAACATTTCACACTGAAAAGCAAAACATCTGTTGCACTGCTCTTACAATGCATTCTCTACACATCACATCAGGAGATTGCATTTTTTTAAGAATTAAAAGTTGACTTCAGGCAGAAGTGAATGTAATTCCATGTTGCATTGCATTTTAGTTTCATCACTCACACTCAGTGAATAAGGTGGGCTTCAATATTAATTGTATACCTACAAATATGGTATATGGTAGCTGTACCTGATAGCTAATGAGTGTAGAGGTTGCTTTAAAAGATCACAAATTGAAATCACTTACCTCAGAGGCATTGTGCATTGAGGAAAGTCCGTCCAGTTCAGTCTCAAGCCCACTGGAATGATTGGAAGCAACAGCACTGCTTGGATCATCCGAAGTGCTGCTCTGTGACACGCAGAAAATCTCTGTTCCCAAAGCAGACTTTGATTCATCGGTTTCTTCTTTAATCAGCATACACTGATGAGCCTGGAGTAAAGGACTCGCACTGCTGTCTGTCATCTGTGGTTGTAGCATTTCTTCAATTCTCTGTTCATCTTCTAGACACGCAGGTGGGGAAACGGGTTCTTCAGGCACGCTTGTTTGAGGAGGGGGAACTCGAGGCTCTTCCCTTGAAGCACTGGGCTCTTGCTTCACCTGAATCTTCTCACCTGGATCTCCTCTCTCAGATCCAGCACAGGGCTCTCCATGGAAGACAGACAGGCCCGGCTGTAATTCTGAAACAGAAAAATTCAACATTATAAATATTATAATGTCAGCTAAAGTTAATGCAAACCAGTTTAAGTAAAATTATACCTCTCAGTGTGAGAAAGAAATAAGGAAATAAAGACAGACAGACGGACAGAGGGGGAAATAAATTAATAAGTCCTGTATTGTAACTCCACTTCCACTTACGCTCGTTTGCCTTTGTCTAGTCAGCTGTATATATGTACACACAACCATAACATTAAAACCACTGACAGGTGAAGTGAAGAACGGTGATTATCTAGTTACAGTGGCACCTGTCAAGGGGTGGGATATATTAGGCAGCAGGTTCTCTAAGTTGATGTGTTGAAAGTGGGAAAAATGGGCAAGTGTAAGGATCTGAGCGACCAAATTGTGATGGCTAGACGACTGGGTCAGAGCATCTCCAAAATGGCAGGTCTTGTGGGGGTGTTCCCGGTATGCAGTGGTTAGTACCTACCAAAAGTGGTCTATGGAAGGACACCCGGTGAACCGGTGACAGGGTCATGAGCACCCAAGGCTCACTGATGCGCGTGGGGAGCGAAGGCTAGCCTGTCTGGTCCGATCCCACAGAAGAGCTACTGTAGGACATACTGCTGAAATAGTTAATGCTGGCTGTGATAGAAAGGTGTCAGAACACTGAGTTCATCCCAGCTTGCTGTGTATAGGGCTGCGTAGCTGCAGACCAGTCAGAGTGCCCGTGCTGACCCCTGAACACCACCGAAACCATCCACATTGGGCACGTGAGCATCAGAACTGGACCATGGAGTAATGGAAGAAGGTGGATTGGTCTGATGAATCATGTTTTCTTTTACATCACGTGGAAGACCAGGTACGTGTGTGTCGCTTACCTGGGGAAGAGATGGCACCAGGATGCACTATGGGAAGAAGGCAAGCTGGTGGAGGCAGTGTGATGCTTTGGGCAATATTCTTCTGGGAAACCTTGACACGTACCACCTACCTAAACACTGCTGCAGACCAAGTACACACCTTCATGGCAACAGTATTCCCTAATGGCAGTGGCCTCTTTCAGCAGGATAATGCACCCTTCCACACTGCAAAAATTGTTCAGGAATGATTTGAGGAATATGACAAAGAGTTCAAGGTGTTGACTTGGCCTCCACATTCCCTAGATCTCAATCTGTGGGATGTGCTGGACAAACAAGTCTGATCCATGGAGGCCCCACCTCGCAACTCAGAGGACTTAAAGGATCTGCTGCTAACATCTTAGTGCCAAATACCACAGCACACCTTCAGAGCTCTTGTGGAGTCCATGCCTCGACGGGTCAGAGCTGTTTTACTGTTTTACACAATATTAGGCAGGTGGTTTTAATGTTATGGCTGACAGGTGTATGTATGTATAAATAAATAAATCAGTGTATTTATTTCGTTACGCTTTCCCGAGTGTCTATGTTTGTGTTTACACTATACGCTACTCCCTTATTAGCTAAACAGCTAACAGTCTTTGGCTGAATCCTAATTCCCTCCATACTGGCTAATGCCCTACATACACTGTAGACGCCGTTCTTCCATACCCTACATAGTGCACTTATATAGTAACAATGGCGCCATTTTGGAGTGAGCCAGAAGCATACGCCAGTCAGTGAGCAGCTTGAAACGCGTTAAAGTGTTGAGCTGAGCACAGAGGACTCACCTGGATAAACCTGGATACCTGCCTCCAGCAGTCTGTTTTTCAGCAGCTCGTTTTCTTGTCTGGAGCGTGAAATTTCGTCGTGGTACTCAGTAACGGTAACTTCCACTGCCTTGAAAATTTCCTGAGCTGCTAGCATTAAGCGTTCCGTCAGGAAAATGCTTAAGGACTGCAGGTTTGTCATGGTGATGTTCAACAGTCTTGCAAAAACGGTCAAATGACCAGCTAACTTAATGACAACAATGGACTGGATTTACTATCGTCCTTCTTCTTTCTTTCTTTCTTTCTTTCTTTCAGCATGCAGTGCTAGTGTTGGAAAGAAATACATTGTGTAGCGCCCTCAGGTGGTCTGGAGCAGAGGCCAGCACACTGACAGTGTAGAAATTCAACTACAGCAAAACAAACAACAAAATACTACAATCCTGGGTTAAAGAAACTTTTGGCAAACCCAAAATGGCAAAATATTAAGCTTTTAATGGTCTTAACAACAAATCATTGGTCAGGAAATTAGCAAGAATTTAACAAATAGATAAAGGAACTGAGTATGGGATCACTTTTCCCTTTGTTGTCGTTTCAGCTGCTCCTGTTAGGGGTCGCCACAGCAGATCATTGTGCCACATATTCAGTTGGGCACAGTTTTTAGACCAGATGCCCTTTCTGATGCAACCCTCATCAATTTTATCTAGGCTTGGGACCAGCACTGGGAATGCACTGTCTTGTGCCCTGGGATCAGTTCCCTGGCTGGGGATCAAACCCAGGTCACGGGGGTGAGAGCGCCAAGGCCTAACCACTAGTCCTTCAGGGACCTGGATAGCTTTTCCCTTTGATTTCTTTAAATGTTTAAGCCTTGTGGCCCTTGATGAGCTGCCTCCAGTGTGGCAGATAACCAAATAATGACTAATCTTTTAAGAAAAAAAAAATTCCAGAAAATATTTTTGGAAAATTGTGTATACCCAGACATGTGTTAGTTTGAATTTTACATCCAACATTTTAATCATAATCATGATTTTACCATTGCGTACAATATATAAGACTATATAAGTGAATTTCACTGTTTCTAGCTTTTCCTCAAACAGTTCACTGCAGCAAAAGTAAACGAGCAAATGGTGGCACAGGGGCTCTCAGGAGGGCATTTGTTTCATTCTTGCTCATTTTCTGACCAATGATTTGAGCATTAGTATGCTATTAAAAGCATACTAATTGCCATTTTGGGCTTGGCCCATTTGTTTTTTTTTTTTTTTTTTTTGCCAAGGAGTGTATGTGCAATCTTATCAGTTTATTGGAGCCATTACAGGACCCATTTTGACTCACACAACACAAATCAGCTGTGCTGTGTTTAAACATTTTGAATCAGTACTTTTCATAGTATTTATTAAATAAAGTGACCAGTGAACTTGGCTTATAACTATAATAACAAGACGCAAGCATAAGAAATATTCGTTCATTCATTCACACACTCATTCACACCTAGGGGCAATTTAGCATAGCCAGTCTACTTACAGGGATGTTTTTGGGGTGTGTTAGAAAACTTAGAACCCAGAGGTAATGCACGCAGACACAGAGAGAGCATGCTAAACTTCGCACCGAGCTCAGGATCAAATCAGGGATCCTGGAGTTGTGAGGTAGCAATGCTACCTGCTGCACCACTGTAACGCAAAAAAGCAACTGCTATGGACCCACTCTCCATCCTTCCAGTGCCAATATGCTGAGAGAGGTTTCATCAATGGAAAATGGCAAGTGGAAGTTGAAGAGTGAATATTAAAAATCCTATTGGATCTCAGGGCTGTACTTGTCTAAACCACTGTCTCTTTTAGCCCTGGCTTTCAAAAGGCTCAAACTAACCATCACATTGTGTATTCTTTCACTCGAGACAATAATTCTCATTGTCTCAAGATACTACAATAATTCTCATTGTCTCGAAGTGGTTAAAGAATACAATAAACCTATATCCTTCTTAGAGAGAGATTACTATAAGAGTTAGTACAACAAAGGAAGCAAAGGAAATGGCATGTTTTTTGCATAGATATTTTTAATAGTAGTATCTTAAGAGCTTAAGTGTTTAGTTTAAAGGTAGGTCTTCAGTCTTCATTTGAAGACAGCCAATGATTCAGCTGTTTGGACTGTCAAGAGACGTTCATTCCACCACCTGGGTGCCAGGACAGAGAAGAGTCTTGTCTTCTGTGTATGTGTATGTCTTCTGTGGTGGTGTGTCATCTCTCAAAAGGGACAGTGGTGCAGATAAGTGCCGTGGTTCCTACTGTGGCATGCCACTCTACGAGGAGCTTCTCTTCATCATGGACATTACTTGGAAGCATACTGCTACAAGAGGTCTGTACTGTAGGAGTTTGTGCGGTACTGCCTGGGTGTCAACATGCATTTTCTCTAGGTTCTACAAGGTTAACATCACTCCTCCTAGTGGTGTGAGTGTGGAGCTCATCTCTGAGCACCTTTCAGGGTAGTGCTACTATGAGTCCTGGTTCTTGTAGTTTGGAGGGGTGAAATAGCACACTATTTATGTAATATAGCTGTAGTTGAACCCCAGATAACTACCACGGTTCCATGTCATTCAGAACCAGCACCAGCTCCAAGGAAAGCTTCCAGGGAAAGACGGCTGTATGACAGCCGTGTTTATTGCAAATACTGCATCATATGTCACTTTACATGGTCTCCAGGAGGTATCCAGGTGATTCTCACTAACACTGAAGGTTGTCTGGGGTTCATAGGACCACACATAAACCTATAGTATGTATACAGTACATACAATACACAGCTAGCATTATTTCTTGTACATCTTGGCACAAAAGGATTGTGATTTGGATCATTTCTATTAAATCATCCAGATATAGAAAGATTCTATGTATTTTTGATCACACACACACACACGACACATGTATATTATATATATATATATATGTGTGAAATTCAGATTCAAGTATTCAGGATTCAAGAATGTAAGTGTGTGTGTGTGTGTGTGTGTGTGTGTGTGTGTGTGTGTTTAAACTTGTGTATGTGTGAGTATGTGAGTGTGTGGTGATAAAATGAGACACAACTTTTCTTTCACTAAATAAGTACTTACATTCTTGAATCCTGAATACTTGAATCTTACAATCTTACAATTCAATGATTCTAGTCATTGAGAATAAAGCAAAAGTCTATCAAAATCATGTCACGTTGCCGTGTTACAGTATACATGCAAGGAGTTTGTGCGGTACAGTGCTGAGCAGCGAATGGTGAAGAATAAGTCATTGTTTGACAGGAGCAGCTGTCCTCTCGGCTCTTCCTCACGACAGGCCCCGCTCAGCCACCTGCCCTCCATTCCCCAACTATGGTAGCAAACTCTTTCTCTCCAGCCCACCTCACATTACTGCCAAAACACTGCTGCATCTGTGGCCCGTGTGCTGAAAAATCTCCCAATTCTTGTATTTGACAGAAGAATTCATTAATTAAATAGAAATATGTTGGGGCAGCTGTCATTATTTATCAGAAAGGAGAGTTGCTAGAAAAAAAATGGAATGTCATAGCTTTATGCACGCTTGCTGGCTAATTAGCTAGGTAACGATGCAGATGAGGTGGCATTCAACACACCCAGCTAAACCTGACAGACAGCATATAGTTAAATTTAGTCTTTATTCCATTATATAATTATGTGAATCTTACAATCTTACAATTCAGTGATTCTGGTCATTGAGAATAAAGCAAAAGTCTGTCAAAATCATGTCACGTTGTGTCGTGATGGAGTCCAAATACTGACTTTGTAATGCACATTTATTGACTTTAAAATTGCAGGTTTTGGTGATGTAAAAAAAAAAAAGATGAAACCAATAAATTTAAGATATTTTTCCACCTTTAATGTGACAAATGTTTTAGGTGGAAAAAAGAAAAAAAATACAATAACCTGGTTGCACAAGTGTGCACACACGTTTATAATGGGGCATGTAGCTGTGCTCAGAATTATCCAATCACGTTCAAACTCATGTTCAAAAGTAATTATCATACACATCATCAATGAAGTGAGTCTGATTAAATAAAGATCAGCTGTCTCTGTAGGATTTTATTGACATCTTATTGGTTCCATTCTATAGTCTGCAAGGGGCTTGCAAAGCATATATGTAATCTCTTTGTCGAAAGGTATCGATCAGGGTACAAAGATAGAGGTACAAAAAAATTTCCAAAACATTATTGGCACCATGGAACACTGTGAAGGCCATCATCAACAAGTGGAGAAAATGGGGCAGCACAGTGACGTTACCAAGAGCATGAAATACCTCAAAAATGGACAAAAGGACAAGACGAGAACTTAACAGGAACGCTGCCAAGAGACCTACAGCAACATTAAAGGAGCTGCAGGAATATCTGCCAAGTACTTGTCATTCCCTGCATGTGACAACAATCTCTTGTATTCTTCATGTCTGAGCTATGGGATAGGGTGGCTAGACTGAAGCTCTTTCACGTGAAGAAGAAAAATCCAATCCTACCTATATCAGGCCAAACCCTGTGGCAAAATGTGGTATATTCTGATGAGACCAAGGTAGAACTTTTTGGCCATAATTCTAAAATATATCTTTGATGGAAAAACATGCTTATCAGCTTATTACCCGAACAACACCATACCCATGGTGAAGCATGGTGGTGGCAGTATCATGCTATGGAGCTACTTCTCTTCAGCTGGGATTGGGGCTCTAGTGAAGTTAGAGAGCATTATGGATAGCTCCAAATTCCAATCTGTTTTGGCACAAAACCTGCAGGCCTCTGTTACACAGCTGAAGATCAACAAAACATTCCAGCATGATAACAACCCAAAGCACAAATCCAAGTCTGGAGGAAGTCAGGAGAAAGGAATGGCTTCAGAAGAAGATCATTTTGATTAAAAAAAAGAACATTTTGGATTGAACCGGTCAGAGCCCAAATCTAAATCCTTTTTTTCCACTTGAATTTTGTTGGATCTGACAGGATTTATCTTTTTTTATCAATTTTTTTTTACATCACAAAAACCTCTCATTTTATCAGGGGTGGGTAGACCTTTTATATCCACTGGCACTGGGGAAACAATGTACACTGTACACTATACATTGTATATCAATGTGAAACTAAATTAATCACTAAATAAAATGTATTGACTTATTGGCTAAAGGATATCTAAATCATTATCATTATAAAATATAAATCATTATAAAATTTTACATTGAGAGAGACATGAAAGAAAAGTTAGACAGTTTACAGGAACATATTAAAAACAATGAAAAACTAAACTGATGCAAACACAAGAACTATGAACCCAACCCTTGTCAAAAATTCTACTGGAATTTCAGTTTATCCTGTAGGATCTTATTTAATTCTTAGAATCCTTTTGGACATTGTGTTTTTTTAAACAGAATTTCAGTTTGTCCTGTAGGATCTTATTTTGTTTTTTCTTATTTGATGAATCTTATTGGAACTCTGCTTGTATTTTATTGGAAAGTTATTGGAAATTACAGAGGGTGCTTTGGGAGTTTTAAAATCCTAAAAGATTTTCTTTACAGTTAGAGTATTTTCTAATTTTAAAGTTAGAGTATTTTATCTATGTAGAGTATCTGTCTAGTGTATTGTATCCTATTACTTATATACAGTATATATATATATATATATATATATATATATATATATATATATATATATATAAGTAATATAATAAAATATTGGTATATATAGGTGCACTAATGCTGTGTTCAAAATATTCTATGTGAAACATAGCATAAGTATTTACATAGGTAGGTTTTGCTGGCTCTTTCTTATTTGCTTTCCGATCAACACCCAAAACAACAGCAC